CAATCGGGCTGCACGAAAAAGAAAAAAAAGAAAAGCCAATCCGGAGCGCCGGAGAGAGCTCGCACCACACAAGTGTGGCTAGTGCAGCGGTCGAATGGACTGGGCGCCATTACCTAATCACAGCCGAGATTCTCCATGCGGCCATTTCCGAGTTTGCCCGCAAGAGTCCGTCACCACTGACCATTTCCGGAGCGCTGATTGGCCACTGGGCGCCTTTCTCTAGCCCCATGTGTGGCTCCCTCCATCTGATATTTGGCTTGGCACGAGGTCATCGAGGGAGACTACCCCTGCCAAAAATCATGCCGGGCCTTCGGTGTCATTTAGCTTGATTTTTTTTCCTCGCCCGCCAACTTTTACAACCCCTTCAACCCAAACCGTTACTTCTCCTACACCTCAAAACCTCTCCTGACGAGACCACCTAATTTTCCTACCTTAAAGGATCTAATACATCACACACAACCGTCAAAATGCCTTTCAAGCAGGGTACGTTTGCAGTTCCCGTCCTTCGCGACGCTTCCCGCGCCCCTTTGCCCCGGTCGAAGAGTCACCATCCAGCCACCGTCTCGAGCCATTGATTGCCCACACGTGGCCCTATGATGCTTGGGATGTCTCACATAGCGGTGGATGCTTTTATTTCTCGAATTCTACATTTGATCGAGAGAAATCGTCCATGTCGCCGGCTTGACGCGGGTCGTGTGGTGGCCTTTCCTGCGGCATTTTCCTTTATCGGCTGTCGCAAACACTGTTGCGCCCCAGCCCGAGGTTATCCCAAAGGACATAATCACGATCCAAACTTGCTCGAGACCATGGGCATGGCTTGTCGCCAGCTTTTCACCACGCGCCACCTCGTTTACTCGGATCCCCCCAAGAGACGCGGATTACTAACACCCCCATCAGGAGACTCCAAGAAGGGTGCCAACCTCTTCAAGACCCGTTGCGCCCAGTGCCACACCCTCGAGGAGGGCGGCGGCAACAAGATCGGCCCTGCTCTTCACGGCCTCTTCGGCCGCAAGACCGGCTCCGTCGACGGCTACGCCTACACCGACGCCAACAAGCAGAAGGGCATCACCTGGGACGAGTCCACCCTCTTCGACTACCTTGAGAACCCCAAGAAGTACATCCCCGGCACCAAGATGGCGTTCGGCGGTCTCAAGAAGGACAAGGACAGGAACGACCTCATCACGTATGTTGTTTTCCCTGTGCAACGCAAAGAAGCTGTGTACTGACCCAACTCTAGCTTCCTCAAGGAGTCTACCGCATAAAAATTTAGCGTATGGATTGTTGCAGGCAGGCGGACGGAGTAGGGGGCGTTGTTGTATTACTACGGGAAAGAGGGAAGGCTCTTATGCATTAGACGACCGGGCATTGGCACGACTACCTTGTATCATAGACTTAGACCGTTGTGTCAACGGCTGGTCTTAATATTCTCACCTCTTATTATGAGTTGATGCGACGAACGCGGTGTGTTTGGGGCATGGCTTTGACTTTGACCCTTGCGGGACCTGCAGCGCTATCCGCTTAGCTGCAGGCGCGAAGAGAGATGTTGATGCATGCGCATTTAAGAAGCGAGCAAAACCCCATCTTTCTGGTATCTTTCTAGTAGGTTGCAATAGCTTTCCAGGTTGTCGAGGCTTCATCGCAAGAACCAAGGCATCATGAGAAAACAGGCAAACGAATGGATCCGTAAGCACCCACTTAAACACTAAACTCCGTCACGGAGGTCACTCAAACGCATCTCAGAATGTCTCAGATAGCGTCTTGAATTTCGTGCAGTCCCAGGGGTTACAAAACCAGCCTGTTACAATCTTTTGGGTATGCCTTTAAATATTCTCATGACACCTTTTTTTCATACTCATCAGTCTACACGGGCTTCTCGCCAAGCATCATAATATGTCCATCAAGTCTTTCAGGGTGTTTAGTTCCGCCTCTGGCCATATCTAGAGGGCCCCTGAACACCCCCGACACACACTCCTCATAATGTCTATTAGACGTCTAAACCCCTCGAGCAGGCGTTCCAAACTGCTAATTTAGTTAGGGCCTGTCAAGATTCCCATCAGACCTCCCGGGACCACAACCAGGCCTCCCAGATCCCAAATATGCCTCTCAATGCCTTAAAAGGCCTACCGGATATCTTCGTACACACCAATATCCTTGACACTAGGTTTCACTTCTTTAAGCGCCACCTCCCAGTCGCCAATCTCGATCACTGGGTCAACTTCTATACCATCCATGCCACTGCTTCCTTGGGCCTGTTGCTGATGCAAGTATGCCCTCTCCAAACAAGCCTGCGCCGCAGCCTGCATAAGATTGCCCAAATCTGCCCCAGAAAACCCGGTACAGCGCATGTCCATAGCCACTTTCTCCAGTTCAGCGATGTTGGCCGCCGTCTGCCCCCTTGCCATTCCAATAGTGTTGCGATACAGCGTTTTCAGAATGTCCACACGGTCCTCTGCCGATGGTAACCCGACGTAGATGCTGGTTCCGAGACGGCCTGGGCGGCGGATGGCCTCGTCGATGATATCAGGACGGTTAGTAGCACCGATGACGTAGATGCCTGAGCGATCGCCCACACCGTCGAGCTCAGTGAGTAGAGTGTTGACCACACGAGCAGAGGCATCGGAGAGAGAGTCATCGCGCTTGGGGACCAAAGCGTCCATTTCGTCGAAGAAGAGGATACAAGGGGCGGAGGATTTGGCGCGGGCGAAGAGCTGGCGAACGGCGCGTTCGGATTCGCCGACGTACTTGTTGAGGAGCTCGGGACCTTTGATGGAGATAAAGTTGGCTTTGGATTCGTTGGCGACGGCTTTGGCAACGAGGGTTTTGCCGCATCCAGGAGGACCCCAGAGGAGGATGCCCGCGGCGGGCTTGATGCCAACCTTGGTGAAGAGTTCTGGGTCTTTGATGGGGCCGATAATGGACATCTCGAGCTTCTTGCGGACGTCGGAGAGAGCGCCAACGTGGGACCAGGTAGTGTCGGGGATCGTGGAGAAGCCTTCGCGCTTGGATGCAGGTTGGACACGGGAGATGGCAGTTTTAAACTGGTCAGCGGTGATGCGGGATTCGCCCCAGGATGCCTGGCGGTGGTCTTCCAGGAGGAGCCACTCGCGTTGAGCAGGAGATGCATCAGACAACTCTGTTGGGTCGCGAAGAGAGCCGGCTTTGGTGAGGAGATCATCGAGACTGCCGCGGAATGACTCGGAGACGGCGGCTTTGACGACATACTGAAGATCGCTGCCGACGTAGCCAGGGGTGAGCTTGGCAAGTTCTTTGAAGTTGACATCGTCAGCAAGGCTGAGGTCTCGGGAAAGAGATCGGAGAATCTGTTCGCGGGCCGCCTCATTGGGCATGCCCATGTCTATTTCGGTGCCGAACCGTCGACGGATTGACTGGTCGAGAGCCTCTGGGCGGTTGGTGGCCGCGAGAACGACAACGTTTTTCCCCAGGTCGGTGTTCTGCTTGATTCGATCCATGCCGTTCATAATCTCAGACACAATACGGCTCTCCATCCCCTTGTTGGCGCTATCGCGCTTCCCCGCGATGGCGTCGATCTCATCGATAAAAAGGAGGCATGGTGCTACCCTGATGGCCTCGTCGAATAAATCTCTGATATTCTTTTCCGATTCACCGGACGTCCCGCTCACAATTGAAGTGGCCGAAATTGGAATAAAAGAGGCCCCAACGCTCCCGGCAACGGCGTGAGCTAGAGTCGTCTTACCGCAGCCTGAAGGCCCATGAAGCAGTACGCCGTTATCGTAACGATATCCCATCTTTTCACAAGCCTCTCCAGCGCAAAGCGGAAACCATACCTCGTGAAGTAAACGGCGTAGCGCATCATCCACACCGGCCACATCGCGAATGTTCACACGCGTTGACGGCGTCCTATCCACCTCTAGCCGCGCTGCCCTCTCGCCCTTTCTCTTTTTCAGCCTGGCCTCCCCATTCGGTAACCGGCCCCCCTCCGCCCCGGACGATACACCTCCGGCATTTGTCGATACGCCTCCCCCCGATACCATCAGCCCATTGCCCCCTATCCCCCCAGGCGCCTCCCCGCCGCTCATCACGCCTTCACCACTCTCACCCGCCCCAGTCCCCCCCGGCGCAGACCCCTTCCCAGCAAACCCCCACGCCTTCGCAATCTGCCTGTTAAGCAACCCAGCATCTCTCTTCGCCCTCGCATCCGCTTCCTTCGCCCTCCTAGCTTCCTCCATTTCGATTAAATCGTCCTCATCCAGCCTCTCATCCGCCTTCGACTCCGCCTTCCGCACTTCCAAACACCTCTCAATGGCGTCCTCAAGGGGCTTCCTTTTTTGCCTTGATACCGCCAAGTTGGACTTTTTGATAGCGTCATACACAACACCGACAGTTAGTTTTCTTGCTGGGGCTTTGCGCTCGTCTTGTTGCTGCTCGTCTTCTAATTTAAGGACGACGGCGTAGACGGATTGGTCAATGCCTTGACGGAGGGTGGGACGGGTCATTTTGGGAGGGGAGAGGGGATGAGAAATTCGGTTGGATGTTTGAGAGTTTTCATGTAGGGCGTATAGATGTTTTTTAGTGGTGCCGGAAAGTGAGTTTGAAGAGGTGTGGTGGTGGTGGGCTTGAAGGCGTTATGAATTATTTTTTTGATCATGGTTATTCGGCGTTGGGGCGGCAGCTAGTGGGACTCTGCGCTGGGATTTCGTGGTGGGGGTGGGGGTGTGGGTCCGCCTCAGCTGGGTTGGGACGGTTTGCATGTGCAATGGTGAAGTTGGGGTGCCCTGGAGCTGAGAAACTTGATTGAAGACTTAATCCGCTGGCCCGGGCGAGACGAAGGTCAAATTCTCTTCGAAAGAAAAAATCAAATGCAATTTCTTCCCTGGATTGCAAGCGCGATATAGACCGCCAGCTCTGAGTCCCGCATCCCGCAACCAAAGACGAAACTCAACTGCCTGCCTTAATGTCGTTTTCGCCACCCCCAACCAAACTCCATAAGGAACAAATCCTGCAGCTTGAAACATTAAAAAGGCGGTGTGGCAGAGTGGTTAATGCGCTGTGTTTAGGTACCCTAAACCTGATCCGCAGTGGGAAACCGCGCGAGTTCGAATCTCGTCACCGTCATAATTTTCAGCAACTCCCACTCAAGTTGTTGACCCTTCTATTTTTGCCTTGTTCTTCCTCTCTCTTCCATTTGCTTGCGGGGCGGTGGGTTGCCTGGGCCTACTTTCGCAGCTCCGCTGAGACGCAGCCATTCGGCTCATTTCTTCAAGTTTTCTCCCCACGTCCCGGATGGTGGGGGCGGGTTGCTGTGGGGTCGGTTGTTTTTGTACCCCTTTTTATTCAGTTGGCACGTCAGCTTCAGTCACGTCCGAGACAGTATTTTGCTGCAAACTCATTTCGCGCTCTACGACATGCCAAGTACTAGAATACATTACGCTGGGCCTATACCGAGTGTCCCCTCTGGTATTCTCCAATGCAAATTGCCCCTGTCTCCGGTTTGTGCGCTCCTAGCCCTTCTGAACCCATCCGAATCAGGTGTCCATTCCAAACGCCAAACCTCAATACGATGCCGCTATCCCATGGTGCTTTCTCCTTGTCCGGTGCGTCAAATATCCATCCAGCGCCCGATCAAAGCAGACCCTGATTCGCAGTAGCTCTAAAGTCTGGTGGAAGAGCCCATCCATGCGTTTTCACCGCTCGAGCATAAGCCTCAATGGCCTCCCCCACCGTGTAATCGCCCGACGCTCGCGCTTTGCTGACAGCTGACTCGATTCGTGCAGGGCGCGGTTCCAAGTTAGACATAGCCAGTCGTACCTGAAGCAGCACGCTCTCCATGCTGTTGGCAGGACTCCATCCCGTGTTGGTCAGAAGTTCCATGCACATGGCGCCGCCACCGGTAACATGGCCACCGCCTCCGCCCATGAATGGCAAGAAACGCGGACGGATCACGCGGATAAACGGCGGTTGCATGGGAAAGTCCTTGGGAAATCGTATCTCCAGCACGATCGAAGTGATGCCGATCGTCTTCATGTCTTGAGCAAGTGGTATGGACTTGTCAAACGTGTGCAGCTCGACGATCCAGTGGTAGACGTTGTCTATTCGGTCAAAATCGATGTACCAGCCCAGTTCGTGGGACGGTGTTTTGGACTGGACTGCCTGCAGCTTCTTCAGCTCGCGCGCGAGTGCCTGGGTCGCCATGGTGTTGGAAAAGGTCGGTTCCTGAAGCTGGGGCAGAGAAGACCAGTTGAGTGTTCTCGGTTCAAAATCGGTGAGACTCTTCTCTGTCGGGGCGGGCGAGGGGGGCAGTGCATTTTCGCTTTTGTTCTTGCCCAGCTTGAACCGCTTTACGAGGTTGGAAAGTTTGGAGGATACCCGTGATTTCGCCATGGAATCCTCAGTCGTTAGTCGTTTGCTCGGCGGCGGGCTCTCTGGTGGGCTGGCGTCTTCATCAGAGTACAGTAAAACCGTATCCTCATCTTCGTCATCGCTGCTATCGTCACCAAACTCGTTGAGATCCCTCTTCGACGTCTGCGCTCGCTTGCCCGCTCCGGGACCCACATGCCGGAAAGGAATGGCCGATAAGGGTATTTTCAGCTCTTTGTTATCTGGTCCCATGACTGTAGCGCATGATGGCTGGTTGTGATATGGACCTTTGGAGACAGGGGCAGAAGTCGATGCCGTTTTCGTAGTGTCCTGCTGGGTTGCTTGGCCCAGCGCCGTTCCGCATCTGACAAAAAGGTAGCGACACTGGTGCCAGTCAAGCTGGTTTACGACGTAGTGAGGGTTCCTAGACACAAACTCGGTTGGCGCGTTGACAATCTCGTTGAGGCTCATGCAAGTGCTGATTGAGAGATCCGAGTGCGGCCAAGCCTGCGCCCCAATACCTGCGTAACCGAGGCTTGTCTGGTAAAGCGGACTGAAGTAAACCCCATGTCCAAAGGCACGACCACATCGTGTGTCCTTGAAGTCCAGTCCCGTTCGCACAATGGAGTGCCAGTTGGCAAGACCACTCCCGTGCCATGCAAATATTGTCGGGTAGTTTGCGATACTCGTACGTGCGGCTACTTCCTGGAGCGCTCGCTTGAATCTCAGCTCCTTGTCTGGTGACCCCTGGGCGAATCGAAACTGCACCCATCCGTCCATGCCGGGGATGCGCTCCTCTTCACGGTCTCTACCCCTGCCAACGCTGACTTTCTCAATTCCCGCACTCGTGATCACATTCCGGGTGCGGTCAATCTGGTAGATGCAAGACCGGTTTGAGGACACAATCCATTGAAGGAGACATGCGGCCGCCGGTGACACATTTCGCATGGACCGAAGAGTGGTGTGAGGATGGCTGTTGAGATATGCCTCCATGTGGAGGACCGACGGGAGCGTATCAAGAATATGACGCATCGCATAGCCCTTGTTATCGGCATAAAGTCCGTCGAAATCGGTGTCGTAGAAAAAGACCTCGACGTCTGATTCCAAGAAGTCTTCTCCTATCGCAGGTATCGGTTGCGCTGGCTGGTTTCGAATAGCACCGTTCATGGGATTGTATATTCCTGTACCCCAGCTGCGTGCAGACCGGGCCATTTCCTCGATAAATACCGATTTGCTGGACGGATGGACCTCCGTGATCACCGCATGGTAGACCGTGCTTTGGGTTGGGATTCGGAGCGCAACCCATGTACCGACCGCCAATCGAGCGTCCAGCTCTAGACCTTGGTTGACTCCGAACACCAACTTCGTTCCTGAGCGGTGCGCTGCGAGCGGGGGAATAGATGATGCGGATCTTTGGTAAAAGTCGGGCACCCGAAGACGGAGACCAACCGGTAGTGAGCGGATCGGAAGCGTTGTCTGTCCAGGATTGAGATCAGCCGGGTTTGAGCTGGCGGCAGCTGCTTGCCCGTGCATTGGTGCTCCGTAGGGCTGAATGGCAGCATAACACAGGCTCACGAGCAGGTCGACGACGTATGGCTGAGTGGTGATCTCGTGTTCAATGCTCGGTCCAAACCCCATGTTCAAGTACTGGAACAGGCACAGAGGCTCGGAGCAGACGTACGGACGAATAGCCTCAAACTCCTTGCCAAGCCGGCGGTGGCACCTCAGGCAGTACTCAGTGCACTTGACGAAATACCGGATGGCAAACTGCGCGGCTACCAGCGGGAAGCTGCGCTGGTCTGCAAGGTCATTGTCTATCAGATGGTCGTCACGTAGTAGGTAATGGCTGTCGTCTAGAGCAATAGCATCAAACACCTCCTCGGGGTACTCGGCTATGCCTCTGCTATAGGCAATACCTAGGCCAGTTTTCTTGATGAGATGTTCGTTTGCTGCGTCCCACGAAACCGACATTGTTTCGCGGATCTTGAGCAAGGAAATGAAGCTGTCGTTCATGAACTGGTCTAGCGAGTTGGAAACCAAGACTTTGTGGAACGCGTCCGCATGTGTGCTCGTACTTTGAACAACCTCAGGGGGGCCGTGTGGTCCTTTGACGTGTTTGGTGCTTGCAAAAGCCGCCATGGCTTCGTTCATAGACGGTTTGTACTGCTTGCACTTTCCGACCCGGAAGACGACCCGGCTGCTTGAGGCGGGTCTTGAGATGATATCAGCCAGAGGCTCGTACTTGTCCTCGTAACGGATGAGAAGAACCAAGAAATCGTCCTTCTCGACATCCCAAGCCTCGAGAGCCTCGTCCGATAAGCCAAGCTTGCTGACGCGTATCGAAATGGAGATGATGCCACAGTGACTGTCCCGACCCAGAGCGTCCAAGAGTCCGACCTTGTACCCTGCCTGCCGCACCTGGCGCAAATCGGCCCTGACGCGACGGCATATTGGCTCCACGTTCTTGACAGAAGTCATATGGCTGCCGGCCTGCGGGCGGTAGGCGAGGCCGAAAGCATCGTCCTCGAGTGCGGCGTAGTCATCGTCGTCGTCGAAGTCGTCACCGTCCTCGTCACCAGAAAAGTCGCTATTGATCGCATCCTCGGAATCTTCATCGTCTTCGCCTGCCTTCGCCTTCGATTCCTTGAATGACTTGTTGAGCTGCTTGGAGAGCTCGGTGACCATTTCGTAGACGCTCATGGCGAATAGGAAATCCTGCGTGTTCTGAATGGTGTCGACAACCAACTGGTAAGCTGTCTGATCCTCGGCGAAGAGTTGCTGCGCGTTTTCGTCGGGGAACAGCATAAACTTGTCCTCTGGGTACTCGCTGGGGTCCTGGGCAACGGCGTGGATGCGGATGCCACGGGGCATCCGCTCGTGACGGTAGGTTAAGGTGAACTCGCCATCCGAGACTGTCGAAAGCGAAGTTACGCCGCTGAGGCTGCCAGACGCGACCTTTTTCGTGGCAGCCAAGATGTCGGTTTTCAACTTCTCGAGACACATTTTGGCAGCCCCGAGATTCCGTTTGTTCGTACCTCGGGATGCGCAGGCGTCGAAGTGAGAGGCGTGTGAAGACGGCGACAGGATGGGGAAAAAAGAAAATTAGTCCGCGCAAAGGACAAGGTAATGTGGGCAGTGGGGGAGGTAGGTTCTCGCTGGATGTTGTCGTCAGCGGTGTGGAGCGGAGGGGTGGGCTGAGTGAAAAGAAGAAGTGAATGCTTGGGGAAGAGGGTGTTCGGAAGGGAATTCGAAAACCCGGAACTGCCGTGGAGCAACTCTATTCACCTTCGTTCTTCAAAGTTTCGCCCGAAGCATCCACGGCCGAGTGCGGAGGGCCAGCCCTATGACCTTAAGGTTCCTGGGTGCGAAGCGTACGGGAGGGGCTCATCCTACGATCTGCTGCCGCCGGCCACAACGAGAAAAGAGCTCTCTCTTCGAATGTGTCAATGATCACGTCGTAGAAAATAAGGTAGCGGTGCTCGTCTAGAAGCAGCCTGATAGAAGTGGATTGACCAAGTGAGTCCAATGATGAGCAGTCAAGGTGGGTGGGCGACTGTGCGGCAAGGCAGCAGCACCAATGGTGGGGAAACCGCAGGTGGTGGTTTCCTCGACGCCGAGGCTGTCATTTAGGTTTCGAAAGTGATGACACAAACAATGCAGACGAATTGCCCAAGTATAGTGCGTTAGATCTCAACGGCCAATCGAGGCAGTTGCTTTATTCCGCGATGGAAGCTTGGTTTCGAGCGGTAAGGCTGAGG